GTTGTCACCGTCTGCCGAAAATCCTAGACGGGCATTACAAACGAGGCGTTAGCGACAACCACCAGGTGCTCTCTGCTAATAGTTTAATTTGTTTTAAAATTCCTCTTTGTGTCTTTGTTAACAGGATATTGGTGTGTCTGATGTGATACGGCTCCTTTGAACACATATAGACCAAGAAATAAGCACCAAAATTTTGTTGTAGTACCCCTTTAAGCTCACATGCAGAAAATTTTCAGGGAACATAATTTCAGAGAACACACATAAATATGAGATTGCTCTAAAGGTAATGCCTCCTATTCTATAATGCTGGCCCAAGATGCCACAGGCTGATGTTGAAAGTATGGCAGTAGAGTTTGAACTTTCTAGCAAATATTCAGTAAATTTTGTTGCCGCACCAAAGATGGCAACATAGGGACAGTCTTACAAAATGGTGTCCAATACTGAGCAGCGTACAAAGCAAAGGTGCCTCACTGAATTCCAGCCTGCAGAAGATATTGCACCCACTGACATTCACCGAAGCCTGATAAGCATCTACAGAGATCAACCGGTGGACATAAGCCCAGCGATGCGACGAGGCCGGCAATAGCTGTCACACTGCAAAACGAAGAATGTTTCAACCAACTCATCCACACGAATCGGCGAATTATGACCAGAAACCTTTGTAGCAGAGAACACTGTTGCGACCCTGACTAAGCTAAAGGCCTGAATTTTTAAAGTTAGGCCGGAGAATGAGGGAACCTTTGTCTCGCAACGTGATAATGCCAGGCCTCCCTATTTTGAAGGCAGTGCAGCACATTGCTAATCTTGGCTGGAGTGTCTTGCCGCACCCAAAATACAATCCGAATACAGCCCTTCCTGGCAACGACGCCCTTATGTGCACCAAACCACCTCTGTTGGTATTGACTTTTGGCGGCATGCCACGGAGGCTCTTGTGCATTGCTTGCGAAAATGTGAAGCCAACACCCAACACTGGCGACTATGTGAAAAAATAGGGTGTACTACGAACATGTGCTGTCACACCGTATGAATCTGCTGTAATTACGGGGCAAAAAATAGGAGGCGTTAATTTCAGAGCTGCCTTCGTATAAAATTATGTAAACATTGAGCATTCGTATGCCGTAGTTTTTCGGACTATAAGTCGCACCCTCGTGTAATTCGGACATCCGCATATTGAGCCATCTTCGTAGGAAAGTTGGTATATAAGTCTCACCTTTGTATAAGTAGCACCTCTTTGCATGGTTCACGGGATGAGCTTCACCAAATACCATGTAAGCCAATACTGGCAACTCCCGCGGATCGCGGGCAAAAAGTGATCGGAGTGCCCCTGGCGAGCTCGGAGTCTCCGCTAACAGACGAATTCTCCACAACACATTGGTTTTGCCTATCTCCGTGCGAGGTGACCAATGAAAAAAAATTGTCGCGGGTATTCGCTGCTTTGAATGTTAAAAAATAGCTGCCGCCCCATAAGTCAGGGACATTTTCTTCGCGTGGGAAAGATGTTACACCTTGTAGGGTGCAATTTTCAGGCTCTCCTGAAGGAAAAACACTGTCAGAACTTACGTAAGCCAGGCAACACATAAACATACCTTTGCCCTGTTTCTTGAAAAAGGGCAATGTAAAAATTTTTTACAACATTGCTTCAACTTTACTGTTCATATCGATCAATTCATTTTGTTGTTGCAATTCCAATTTCTCAAGAATCTATTGCTTTAAACCGTTTTGTGGAATACGCGAGCTGGCTAATCCCGATCGTTTCCGGATGAAGAAGCAAAAGACAATTTCGAACGACGTACGTTACTGTGAGGTCAGCACGCTCTGGAAGAAGTCAATTGTGCACATGAAAATCTGACGCTATTACTAAAACTAATACTAAAAGCAAAGTTACCAAAAAAAAAAAAGCACCCGTTGGCTGGTTGTACACCTCCTTCCATTTTTCAAAGTCTACTTTCTTTTTATGTTTGAGGCGACGCTACGCCGCCGCTGCCTTTCTTCCTCCAGTGTTTAGGTTTTTTGTTTGCTTCTTTCCTTATGTTTACTTGATGTGCGAACCATAGCATATTTTGCTTTGCCTTGTTCGGCTTAGTTTTACTTTCTTTCCTTCGCTTCGTCGCTTACTACCACCTGTTCGTCTGCTACGTTATGCCCGGACATTTGGAGAGCCGTCTGCAACTTTGTTTGTTTTTGTTTTGTGTGTGTGTGTGTGTTTTTATTTTTTTATTGTCGTCTGTGATATTTTCCTATGTTCGCCTTTGACTAAGTTTCTGATCAGAAATCTTCATATGTACTTTTGGATACTTAATAAATATATTAAAAAGTGTAAGCTTGTTATACATTTCTATTCGGACTTTATTTGAGTACACAGTCACGTCTGCTATAAGTCATCGTTGGTTGATCAACCGGCCGCCTTCGGGCATACACCAGCGCATACTTGGAGATGGCAGGCCTGTCATATGCCTGCCATCTCCATTGCAAAGACAAGTTTTTGTGATGTGGTGGAAATTCCTTCTTACGCTTCCCGAAGACCAAACAAACGTGAATAATTAAGTTACTTCAAAATAAACTGGAAGAGCTATCCAAGTCTGGCTTCAAAATCGCCATGACGACTGAACAGACGAATATTTCACCAAACAAGAGTTCAGCTGAAAACGCACTTGAGGCTGCTGATCGACACTCCAAACAAAGGCACAGTGTGCAAGGATTGCCTGGACATGTACGTCAACAAGTACTGGAACTATTGAACTGCTGCGCCAAGCGAGCAAACAAACAACCTGCCAAAGTCACTGGGAAAAGAAATGCGAAAGCAAAAAAAGGTCACACACTGCTAGCACGTAGCTTATTGCAGCGGGCGACTCTTATTTACTGGGCAGTGTGAGTTGGACTACGTTATTCCTTTCCTCTGTTTTGTTCTTAGTTCCTACCAACGCCGTGAAAGCAAATAAACAAACTTGTAACGTGCAGTTGAAAAAAAAAAAAGTGAAGCTTTTTTTTTTATAGTTTCGTCGTGTTGCTTTTGCTTTGTTTGTTGTGGACTCAACACCAACGGCGAGCACCACCTGCTAATTTTCAATGCTCCTACCGACGCCCCGTGCGATCGTCGTCATTGAAGGAGGTCTTTACTGGGTGATTTGTATCTTTCTATCGTCTGCTAACTTCTTTGTTTCATTCGCCGTTGTTCGCGACTGTTCCCCATTTCATCTTATTTTCGTCTGGGATGGGGACCCCACCTTTTCTGCAAAATTCGGAAACTGTTTGCACGGCCATTTTTCGCGTTACTTTTTTGTTTTTGTAATGCTGCAGAGGGTGGTGCGCTTGCTCTGGTAATTTTAACATGTTGTATGCGCACGTTTTAATAATAACCTATTCAGGTAAGAAATTGTGACAACGCAGTTTGTAACGGATAAACAGTAACCTCTTACGACACAGTTTGAGTAGCTAAACGCCTCTTTTCCACTTCCCAGATGCGCGCTTCAAAGGCGTGTGATCCCCCTAGTGGCGTTTGAGACATCTAAACAAACTACTCTATCTTTGTTTATGCGCGCATTGTTATTTGTTTGTCGTTGCAGTTGCGATCAGTGGATTCCACTTTGCAAGCGGACTGACCGTAATGAATTGTTTCTGCTGTTGGGAGGACGTCGCAGAGCCTATATTTTCCCATTGCGTCGTCTGCTTCCGTAAACTCCGACTCCGCTAGAGGCGCCACTGTCACATTCACCGCCGCCCCCATAGGTTTTCGGAGAAGTTTCCAGTATTGGCAAAGCTATGTCGTATTTGGTTTCACTCATGCGCACCGGTATCGCATTTTTTCCTATACGCGCATTAGTATCGCGGGTTTTGCACAATCGTCTAGATCGCATGTACGGTCTGACGCGCAACATGGAAGTTTCGACTCGCAAGAAATGCCCATAGCACAGCGCTGTCTGGAGGGTGCCATTGAGTGTTTCGCAGCAGAAGGATATAAAACACGCAAAATGAGAAGGTATTCGGCTTTATTCGAGCGAACGAAAGATTAATGTGACAGACACTCGTGAACCAAGCTGTGGACCACTAGGCCTAGCCTCGGCCAGGTCGCGGAGACGACGCGAACATCGACGTGTTGGCAGATGGATCAATCTTGACACACTTCTTTAGGTACCTCTAAAGGTTGGCTAGCCGCAATCCTTCCTTTTACACCAAGCAACACAGCTGGAGCGTGGCAGACGAAAACGACTCATGAAACGGAAACTAACGAAGATGGGAGAAAATATTCTGCAATACCAGCCCACTTACCTGTCAGCGTTACTGGGATGGACCAAAAGAATACAGAACCACGGCTGAATTAGGCAGTGTCAATCGCACGCCGTAAAAGGCTTATTCTCACCATCTTGCCTATCCACATCGAGCCACTTCAGCGAAACCCTAAAATTTCTCGCTTTTCGAGTCAGTTACGAAAATTGTAGAAAAGTGCGGTGACAGCCGTGCCTCCTGAAAGGGGCAACACCGCCTATGTCTATGTAATTGCGGTGCTCTACCAGAAATGGTGCGCGGCGCCGTGAATTAAAAAAACGAATGCATGTTAGCTGTATAAAACGCACAGAGAAAAATGTTCGAAAAAGAACAGCCCGACTTGTACGCAGGAAAATACAGCACTCAATATCTCTCTAGACAAAGGCTCGTCGAGCGGGTCGCTTGTTCCCCCGCCCAATCTACAGTGCCTGCGACGTGTCTCCCACTGGTGTGTCCACCCATGCATCCAAAGTGGTCCCTGAGTGCCAACAAACGACAAAGCCCAAGTGTCGCGCTATCGGACGTCGCCAGCCTCGCGGCTGTGTGTACAAATTTCGGCAAAAAGTACGAGAAAATGTGAATGTCCAGGTTGCCGAAGCAGACTGTCAAGCGGAGAGCAACCTGCAGCAGAACCAGCGTCTGCCCCCACCGCTTTTACGATGTCGTAGAGGGGAAACACCGGTCGGAGGCGAGTTCTGGGCACCAGGGTCAAAAGGAGAGGAATAAAGCGGTCTCACGTTGACGTCGGCACCCTTCTCAATGAGGTACTCGAGCACGTCCACCTGGCCGTAGTCCGCCGCATGGTGGAGGGGAGGCCTTCCGTCGATGGACGCGTTCACGTCCAGCCCCTGCAAAGCACCTGCCCGCTCAGTGCCGCACACCTTCCCTCCGGGGGAAACCACACCCTGCTGTTTAACACCCGAGACTGTGGTGCAGAAAAGGAAAATAACTTTTAGTCCGAGGAACGGACATGGAAGGGAACGCCTTGAACCTGTTCGAACGCTCGTTGACATCCGAGATTCCCACGGAGCGCAAAAAACAACATCATCCAGTCATACAGACGAGGTGCCATCGAAAAAATCTTAATAAACAGTCTTGGGTGTTAAACAACACGCTTACTACCGCCAGCCCGCCTGTGCACTTAGTCTTTTCACCGCGCAATGCTTCCCCCACTGTCATTGGAATTCCCAACGTCTGCCACTGACCTGGGGCGGGATTCGGGGCGACCAACTTCCCCCCCCCCCCCCCCCCCCCCAAAAGCCACGCATGCAGCAGGGCGCTAGACCAACACCACAAACGGCACTTGTGCGGCCCTCGCTTGAACATAACTCAGCACCGTTGCAGCTATCACTGTTGTATCGCTAATATGGTGCAAAGTCAGCGGTGGATCAGCAAGGCCGGCGCTATTTCCAGTGCCGAGGTAGTGCTGCGCTGTATGTGTGAATGCGTCCTTATATTAATTTGCCCCTTAAAGGGGTATTCCAGCCTTTTTTTACAGTCTTCGATTTTCCTGAAAATTTGCTAAACGCACCAACAAATGTCGCTGAAATAGTAACCCAAATATTAGGCACAAAATGATATTTTCATTTTGTGCCTAATATTGCAAAGTTGTTGATTTTACAATTTTCGTCCTCACTGGGTTTTTCAAAGTGAAAGTCTCAGCTCGCAACAAGGAAAAAGTGATGTCAGTGGAAGGCAGGGGTTCACCCTTTGGAGTGATCTTTGTTCTCAACCGATTCCAAGCAGTTTCATGGTGTCAAATTAATGCTTTCGAAGCTCGCTCTAGCATCTGTGCAGGAGCACTAAAGAAGTGCTCAGCATTGTCCATTTCTAGACTGCCCGGTCCACCCGCAAGCCTGCCTTCCATCGGCGTCGCAGCACTGAAAACTGCAGGTAGATTTGAACGTTGGTTTTGGCATCATTTTCATTTGCCGATTTCACAATAGCTATTAGCCGATTTCACAATAGCTATTATGAATTTCGTGATACTAAATAGCATACAAGAAAGGGCAAAGGCCAGTGATTTAGAAAAAATAGGTAGCTTCTAAAAAAAATTTCTGGAGTACCCCTTTAAACAGCGGCAGTTCTCAGCATCACAGGGATCTCAGAACCGTATTCAGTGAAGATTTCTCCCCCCTTTAGGGATTTCCTGTTTCGACTACCAGCAGCGCCACAGTGCGCGCCGCAAGCCTATTCTCAGTGTTACAATTTTAGCAATTTTTCCGCTAGACTTAGCTATCCTCTATGCCCGTCTGAAGGGTAAAAATTAAACCTAGCCACTAGTGTGAAATTGCAAATTGAATAAAGGATCTTCAGCGAAATTTCCAGCTTTTCTTTTCTTTTAGAAATATTGTTGTTAAGACACTAAATATATTCAAAATCAGCGAGCTTGGAGAATAAATATAATTGTTTCATAAAGTGAGAAGACGGCTATAGCGAGGTTTTCTTATGAATTTCAAAAAAGCTCACATATTAAAAGTGGGCTGTCATGACAACACAAAGATAAGTGTGAGAAGTGCAACAAGAAATTAAAATTCTGATCCAACACCTGCATTTGAACAAAAAAGAAAAAAAAAAAAGTCCTTCCTTTTTTAATTTTGTTTGTTCCCTATTTGCCCAAAATTAAAAACCTTGCTGTTTTCACACCAAATGAGCCATTTTGGGGCACCAGACCAGCGAGAAATTAACTTTGAAGTTGGCAACGCCGCCTGTACAACGAGACCCCCACAATCGGAGCGGTGCAACCTACGTCCAGGTTGTTGAAGAATGTGTTATGGGCAGTGTTGGAAAGTACTTCAAGTACATTGTACTTAAAGTACTACTTCAGGTAGTTTCAGGAAACTTGTACTTTACTTGAAGTACATTTTCTGAGTATGTACTTATAGTTTACTTAAAAGTATTTTTTTCTGGTACTTTCCGTAAAAGTACAATTCCCGACTTCGAAGTACATTCCCCAAATTTTGTTTTGTTAAGTATGTATCACGAAATGATGCTTTGTCAACTCCAAAGAAATACTGGGAGGGATATTCTACTCTCACCAGAAACGTGGGCAGACGACGCATCGCTCCGTTTGTTCTGGGGGCGGCTTTCCCGTCGCTTTTTGAACTCTCGCTACTTCTCGGTCGGTCAGGGCAAGCGAGGAGGTTTAAGATATTAAGAGAGCAAAATAATCATAATGTTGCACCTGAGACTGTGGTGCAGAAAAATTCAACTTTCAAGTCGAAGAAAAAGACAACAGAGCAGAACGTCACAATATTTTAAGATAGTCTCTTTTGTCTTTTCCTTCGACTTGAAAGTTCCTTAATTTTTTCACACCCCAACCTCAGGTGTCACATTATGATTAATTATTACCAGCTCGCTAGCACACTCACTTTTTTTATTTTCCATTAAGGAGAGGACACTTCTTTATGAGGGGATTGCTTGCGGAAGCTACAAGCTGATGTTATGCTCTCTCCTAGTACATTTAACCCCCATGGGTGCAACATATCAGTGCAAGCGGTGCCAAATTCAGAAGCGGGACTTGTGAATTTGGCGCCATTCCTGAGAATAACTACTCTGTGGCCATTTGACTTTATTAAATATTCACCGCGGTTTTCGAAAATAGGTCATGCAACCCTGATTACCTCCTGGGCAATGCATACCAGTTAAAAAATCACTCTATAGGGCAGTGGTTCTCAAATGGGAGTCTGCGGAGGCATTCTATGGGTCCGCGAAACCCTGGCTGATCAGTCAAGCCTGCGGTAATAGAAGTTGAATTTTTTCAGATTCAGAAGAAAGGTTCCAATTTTCGGGTAAGCTTCTCACGTTTATGTCATTGAGAGAGGTCCATTTCACACCAGCCCTTAGCTATATCCATTTATTAACTCATTATTATAATTAAGCTATACCTCTCTCTTTCCCTCACCACGAACGGGGCCCTCCATCATGACCGCCGATTCACAAGAGGTCTGCGAAACATTAGTGGTTGAGAACCACTGCTATAGCGCAGTGTCCTTGATATTTTCTGAGTGGCTTTTAGCTGCTCAAAATGCAAAACAGCACTGTTTATAGCACGACCCACACGTGCTCGACATTGTAATTATAAGTGCGAACCACGTGACGTGCGTAAGCAATGGACGTGCAGTTGCGCGAAGGAAGAAGGCAACAAATTTTGAGTTTATCCTATTGTACAACTCAATATCAAAGCATCAGACCACGATTAACGGAGTTATCATATTCGAAGCGATGAGCCAGAGCAAGATTAAAGTACGCCGAGCAGGCCTACCGCTCGCGTGAGAGCTGCTGGCCGGCAAGGATTCGGATCGGAGAGTGTTTCAGTTCGATCAAATCACGATTTATCTTGCAGGAATGCGGTTCGAACTTCGAACGGTGAAGCACTAAAAGGAATCTTTCGCTAATGTGTTTTCAACTGGCTGACGTCCGGAACCTGGGCCGCAGACGCTCAGGCAATCTGACGCTTAATGACTCGACCTCACCTCGGCCGACTTGCTTAACCGCCTATGGTTGAAGAATAAGAATCCAGTCGCAGGTGATGTAGCGCTTGGAACCCGACCCCCGAGTTTATTTGCGTGCTTCCGAGTCGGGATACACAAGAAAAATAAACTGAACAAAAAATTGCAAGGCCGACCAAGCTAAATGCGCTCATTGTTGCCAATCGAGTCAATAAAAACCGAAACCAAGACAAAATAGAATTATTTTGGCGCACGTTGTGCAATTTGGAGCACAATGGCGCGAAGTATTGGCTGTGGCGCAGTTTCCGCAAAATGGCGCAGGATGGTGCATACAAATGCGTCTGGCGCAAAATGGCGCAAATGCCACAGCCGTTCCACCCCTTTGCTCTCAGGAGTTTGATTATTCGCTTCAAGACCCAGACCCAGATTGAACTTGGAGGAAGCAAGCTTCAGTGGATCTAAGGTTCTTTACAAAGCATGTACCGATTCTCTCTGTCCATAAAGCGGGCGGACACAAAGCATCCACACTAATGGCACAGAGCATGGGCAAGGAAGGGAACAGAGCACGAGCCCTGAACAGTTGACTCCAGTGCGCGAGCGCCGCATTGGCGCCTCCCATGGCTTCTGCCTCACGTCCGTAGCATTTGCTTTGCTCCAAGTAAGTGTGAAACAAAGCCTAGTTCTGCCCTTTACCACATCAGCCATACCAATCGAATCTTGAGGCAAGTCTTCCAATAAGGATGGTCATGAGATGTCATGCCTATTTTCTTTTTTTCAATTAAATTTATATACGAGGTAGCAAAACATGTTGATACAATAGAATGGAACTACCTTTGCAATATACTACATTGTTTTTGTTAAAAAACAAGATTGCATGTGAGAGGTGGTGCAACATTTTTCCAAATTGTGCGTACATGCAACTTTGAGGGCTAGAGGAATAAAAAATACAACTTTCTACAACGTCAATATTTTATATGTATAAATCGTGCCAACTGGTCTATTCGAATTAGATAAACTTATTTTATTTCAGATTATTTTTTCAGTAAAATAAAATGAGAAACTTCGCCCCTTGCAACGCTCCTTCAAATATAGGCACTTTGTTTTTATTTTTTAGCACATCTTAGAATTAGATTTTTAAACTGAAACATTTTGTACGGAGTATTTTATGCTTTTTTTTCACTTTTAACAAAAAGTTTGCACTCAGCTATTGTAAGTGTTTTTTTCATTACGCCCGGAATTTATCTAACAATCCAAAAAGTCAAAATTAAGCAATTAAGTATGGCAATAAGAAAAACTTATCCTCGATTTTCTCCAAATTTTTTTCGATGAACCCTTAAAAAGCAGTAATTCAAAGGCCGCAAAAACATGTTGCATTATATTGTTCTAAAATAGAAAAA